GAAGCGATACAAACATCGCCGGCTTTGCTGATTCTTGCACAACAAAATCTTGCTTGGTAATAAAAGGGACTAAAAGCGTAATATGTTACCCGCATCTTTATTCGCTTGTCAAATGACGGTCAAGTACCCTACACCAATCAGAATGCATGTAATGAAGAAGCTCTGACGTCTAATGCGATTGCGCATGTCTGTTAAGTCTAAAACGGGACAATTTTGCAGACGAGCTGGTGCTCGGAACGACTGACGAGCACTGACAGTACTGCATAACTACGCATAAAAAGGTTAGTTTACTGATTTTGTTTACCCTTTTTGCTGTTTATTTCCTCAGCCATGTGTTTGAATTGGTCTGTAAAACTGGACAGGGCCTGTGATTTGGCAAATCGGGCGAGAGAAAAATCGATCGCCTGACCACAGTCCCTCAACGAACGGTTGGGAAACGCAGCTGTGACAGACCGTGTTTCGTTTGCGCTGATTTGTTCTACGCGTCTTGTTTGGGGTCATTTAAATTAGCATACGCGATGACGTTATTTTTTTCTCGTGCGCACGCGCGTATTGTTGTTTTGATTCACAGCTGTTTTGGTGTCTTATTATATTACCGGTACTATGTGGAAAGCGTACGACGATTTTGTCGCATTTGATGACGACGACGTTGATTGGTCGTACGTTTTAGAAGAAAAAGGCGATGACAACTACGACGTTACCGTGGAGAATACGGACAATCAACCCCCAGTGTTATCTGGTTCGCCAGAAACATCCTCACTCGCTGTTGACCGTGACATCGGTGATCCCTCGGTGACCAGTACACACGGGTATGATTGTCCGTTCTGCAGTAAGCATTATAAAAGTGCCAGTGGATTCAGATGGCATGTAAAAAAACACCACCACCAAGATGTGAAGGGTGAGTTTTGATATGAAATGTTTTTTTATTTTTTTATTTTCATGTATGGAAACGTCCCGCGACTATAATCTTTGGTCAATTTACAATATTTGAATTATGAATTTTAAGATGTAATAATTCTAAACCATTTTTTTACAGCTTCTCAGCACAAACATATTATAGCTGATGACAATTTAGAAGATAATTTGCAAAGAGGTATTGAGTTTTTAATAAGTTTTTTTTTGACAAGAAAATTAATTTTAGATAATGAATACAGTATACAATTGTAAATACAACTCCATTTATAGTAATAAAAAAAAATGTCTGCTTATTATTTTGCAAAACAATTTGTCAAGTCTAGCATTTTCTAGACTCAATGAGACTCAATGGTTATAGCAGATACCTTTGAAAAGACGTTTATAGTTATGGACATTTTGTGCACACTGCAAATTGATCATCAATACTTTTATACATGTTTCTCCTGCTTTTCCCATAGATGGTTCTAAAAATGACATAAAGACTCCATCAGTTAGTTCAAAGAAAACAGGTATGCAGAAATTTTGTTTTTATCATCAATTAAAGTGGATAAAATTATTGATATAATTGTTGATGGTTCTGGTAAAGGGCTTAGTTTGATTTTTGATTTTAGTTGTGTTTAAGATTCGATGATTTACCTTTACATGTAATGACCTATACATGGATTCTCTTAATTTGTTATAAGCAGCTTCTCTATGTTCTTCATATAACATTGTAACAACTAATATCATAGCCAGATGATCACCTACATATCTATTCACATGTATAAAACACGTATAAGCTAGACACTATTTTCTGTTTTTCTGTTTTTCAGGTTTTGTCAATCCTCATAGAGCTTTGGATTTGGATGAACTTAGTCATAACATGCCCAATTATATTCAACAGGCATTTGAAAAAATTAGAAGTGACCCCAATTTAAACTTTGAAACAAGTGTTCATGGAAAGGATATTTCTGAATTAGCACATATGCTCGAAATGAAAATAAAACTGGGTTATGACATCACCACAATAACAGAAGTTATGGTTAAAGTAATATGGAAAGTTTTATCAGCTGGGGACAAGATGACCTTGTACAGCACACAAAATGAAGAGATATGGCATACCTTTTACAATGAATGGATTGATACCACCACTACCAAGATATTATCAACTCAATTTTATGCAATTCTGGAGGACACACAAATTAATGATTTTCACATTTTCCTTTTGACAAGAATTTTTTTGTTTGAACTTATTAAAATTGTCAGGACAATTGAAAATAATGCTGAAGGTGAACTAAATGCACATGAACATGATGTCTCATTGAGTAATGAAGAGAAACAGGCTCTTCGTTATTTTGCTGGGTATATCCCATTTAAAATAATGAAAAAATTAAATAGAGCCAAAGGTGGTATGACCCAGTTGTCAGATATAATTGATGATATGAGGGAAACCGACAATGATCATAGTGGTGGCTGTATGGCAGCTACAAAAACATGGCTACACAAGCAAGACCGAGGCGGTTTGTTTAATATTACTGACAGAGTATTTTTGTTCTTCGAAGAAGTAGAGAAAGTATGCAAAAAGCATCTCACCAACAAAATATTGAATATCTCCACCAGGGATGTTCATAGCAAAATTCAGGATGATCTATTTGCAAATAGAAAAGTTAATATTCTTTGGTCTTGTGTGGCAAGAAAAGCAGCAAGTGAAGAGGCTTCATCAGTTCTTGCTACTATGGTTATTAAACTGTATGTTCAAATCCGGTGTTTTACATTTGCTAAAGCGTATGGATCTTGTCA